ATGATCTACAGAGTTGTTGTAAGCATTACATCTCACCGAAACTATGCAGTGTTTAGACTTGTGACTAGCACACAGTTAGTGTGTGTGTGTGTGTGTGTGTGTGTGTGTGTACATAAAGTAGGGGAGTGACTGTCTACAGGGGTTGTTGTATTATGTGTTCCCATGCTCGTGAAGCACCAGACTGGTGACTAGCACACAGTTGCTAATAGATTCCCATTATTTCTCCCCATAAGAACGTTCCTGTTGAATTATGGGATCCCGTTTCTTTCTCTGACGCACACCTACAGTTCTCCTTCAGAAAGGAAGCACAAATAAGAACCGCACACTCTCCCTCACACCACCCCCCACACACGCACACACTCTCCCTCATGCACCCCCCCATCTTGCTCCAGTGTATGATTCAACAGTGCTTTCCACTTTTACCTGTTCATCTCCCCTGGGGTGGGAGTGACAAACAGAACTAATTGTCCTCTCTGAAACTGAAATCCTTGTCTGAGGCCCCTGGCAAGCCTTTGTTTTATCTTTCCTTCTCACAGAAGAACAATAGTTTCAAATGATAGTCTAAGCATTCTTAGCAAAAGGCGCTCAGAGCCGCCACTTGCCAGATGTGGCAGATAAATGTGCCTGTGCTCCACCAGACACCCAGCATGAGCTTCTAATTTTTGCTCTGCCAAAGCTGGAGTTTGCTAAGCAACATCTACAGAAACAGAAAACTTCCTTCCAGTAACTGGTCTGACCTTTGGATGCATGGCTACCGTGGTGCTCGTGGCAAATCAGACACGGACAGAAACACTAAGCTCTTTCTTGGATTCAGCCTTGAGAAGCATGGGATTCATTCATACACATGTGCTCTGGCATGTTGCAACATGGGTTGGGTCAAATCCATTCATCACTCCCTTTACTCACTGGCCTCTCTTAGGTCATGACTGACGCTAATCATTGGTGCAATGGGCAGGTCCCACTCGGAGGGAGGAGCCACCACCATTATTCACCAGTAGAGTTTGTTATCATAAAGCATTGCAGGACCTGAACTGAGGGACTGACGTCTGTGGGTAGATTCCGAATATCAGAGGTCTCTAAGTCAATCTTAGAATCTAGTCTGAATTCTTCTCCTACTGTGGTATATTTTGTAATGTTTACATGAGCCTTTCCATACTCTTTCCAGACAAAAGTAGCAGGAAATGATCCCTAAGCTTCCTCTAGCTCCAAGGACTTCTGATATTCACCTACATTACATTGAAACCTGAGACCAAAACACCTAAGAGAATGTACTAAGTGTCACAGGAGTTAGGATACTCTGATAAACCTTGGAGCCTGTAACAGAAGCAGACGGCGTGCCTACTCAGCCGTCTGCACTTGAAGATCTAAACCAGTCCACAGGCTCAGTGCCAAATGTCTACAAAGCACCGTGCACATCCAGAGCCGCTTCACAGAGATTCTGCTCTCTGATCACTTCAGTCTGTCTGAAGCATCCACATTCTCTGTGGCTGGGCCTATAATTGCTCTTACTTTATCTATACAGTATTCCTAAAGCCCACAGAGGTCACAACCCCATCAATGGCCATAACAGTAACAGAAAACACGTATTCTAGAATGGCAACCACCAGTACTATTTAGACACATGTAGGTATATAACCATAAGTATCAGAAGCTGAAAATTCATCTCCTTACAGACGTTACAAACACATTTCAACCATCCCAGAGCCACATCTGACTACTGGCTACAGTGCTGGACAGCACAGGGTACAGAGCCTTTCAGTCACTGTACAAACATCTACTAGACAGCACCAAACCACTGTACAGCCTAATTCTTGAGAACAAATCTTTGAACTGCAGAAGATAAAAATTTCTAGACCAGCACAGAGGTGAAATGTATGGGTTGCCCCTTCAAACTCTAAAAGTATATTTAGTGTGTTCAGGTCAACAAAGCTGGCATGAGCTGAGATTGCCTTGATAATCAATGATGCTCTCTTCAGTCACAGTGTGGCTGAGTAGAGGTCTCAAAGTCAGAGGCTGGGGTGTTGTGAGTGACAGTTCCTCATGGATTATTGAAACTGAACTTTGAAGTTTTTAACTCGTCATTCCATCAAATTTTATCCTCTGATTTTCATGGCAGTTACTAGATCCCTAAGCTATTGATTTTAAGAGATCTCTGTTAACAAAGATATTCTTTTAAAAGAAAAGTTATCCAAAAATGTATCTGAGATAGATAGATAGATAGATATAGATATAGATATAGATATAGATATAGATATAGATATAGATATAGATATAATAAATTTAGATTTTAGATTTTACTCCATCCAGGAAACATTACACAAGCTCAATGAATAATAGGAGAGCCATTTTAACAGTACATTCTTCCATCTCTAGCAGGTTCTTCATGGAAAGTGGTCTAATCAACGGGCTGTGTATATCAGGCCTCGTTAGTGAGCAACACCCTGTATTACTAGCACTCTGACTTCTAGAATGTTGTTTCTTATAAAATTTCTTCATAAACTGCCTATAAGACATTCAAGATTTGTTTGGGCCTTTTCTCCAAAACTAGAAGTGTTTAGGAATGAGAAAATGAATTGTTCTTGGTAAATACTTCTAACACTGTATAAGATTACTTCTATGAACTGATTGAGCTAGCTGTGCTCAGTCAGTCGTTTCAGACTGAAGGGGAAATGCCTTTGTAGACTTATCAAGTAAAACTGAAACACAAGCTGGTTAATAAGGGGTGGTGGGCCCATAGTCTACTTAAGTGGTTCACCTATGGCCTCAAGGCTCTGTGAAAGTATATAAGCATTATTAGGGCATGAACTACCTGCTGTCCTATTTAGGACTAATCATTAAAGAAATCAATTCATCTTTTCACCTCCAGTACTGAAACAAAACAAAAAATCCCAATTAGCCCCTTTCTTTATCCTGATCTACAAGTAGATTTGTGCCCATCTGGCTTTCTACTGGGGTAAGAGGAATCACTGATAATTCTTCCTCAGAGACACACTGCCTTGCCTTTTCTGTGATCCCTTCATGAAACACAGAAGAAAGACTACAGGGGATTAGCTTAAAAACTCTCAGCACATAAATAATAATTTTCTTTACCATGTAATAGCCAAGCTAACCAGCAATTCAAAGGAACATGCTTGCCTCACGTTATTGCGCTCTAGGAGACTAGTGCTTTTATGCAAGATGAGTGCAGGCCTTTGGACAAAACAGACAAACAAATCCTTGGTTTCAAGAGGAGGAACATAATGGCTTATGTAGAGAGAAAGTCAAAGATAGATTAGTTCTAAGTTTTCTCAGCTACTGTCCCATATATAAAGCCAGATTCAATTTGAGAATATTTGGGGATGACAGTAAATAATCTATTACTTATGCCCACATAATGTTTGTGTGAGTATAATCATGATGATGTATAGGAAATAAGTATACATTCATGTATCAAAATACATAGTCTACCATAAAGAATGGTGGATAATATGCAAGCTCTGAAAATATGCGTATGTTTATAATTATAATTTATAAATCCATGCCTCTAAAGTAGCTATTATTTTGAAAGCAATAAATAGATAAGACCCTTCTAAACCAACTAATAATAAAACTTTGGATTCTGTCCACAAAACCATTGTAATGACTAATATTAATCAGACTCACTCAGCTACAGAATTCTATGATTAATAACCCAGTATGACTATTTTCCTTTCAGGTATTTATTGATTATTCACTGTTTCAACTGCAGTCAACAAATTGAAGAATTAAACCTCCCTTCATAATTTTGTTGTCAAGATTAATCAGTTATTTGTTTAAGTTGGATGTTTTGTCTTGATTTATGTTGCTTGCGCCTGTGAGTAAATTAAAATTTGATTTAATTTCACAGATCTTGCACAGAGCGGCAGGCTCTGCCAAGACAGCATCAGGCGAAGAGCTCATGTCAATTAACAAGTGCTTATTGAAAGGCCACACAGAAAGGAGACCATAACTTAACTTTCTCTCCTAATCAGGAAATCAAATTTTAGTCTCCTAAATATTATATATAAATCAAACTGTACTCCTAAATATACACTGGAATACACTTAAGAAGAAAGTAGTGGAGAAATTCTACATTTCCTTCAAAGTTTCAAAATTTCGTCCCAAACATAAATACATGTTAAAAACACACAAACCCTAAATTTCCAATTTTGTCAATACACACCATATGCATATGTTAAAAATATCACACTGCTCATATAAATATGCATGCTTACTACATGTTGATTTAAGACATTGAAAGGGAAAGCAGTCTGGTTTTAGAAATCAATTCTAACTTTTAATTTGTTCCTTTTGCTCTTTTCACCTAATTTCCTCCAGTTTTGTCCTTTGCGTCTCAGCTAAAGGTCACCTCATCCATCAGCTGGGCCTCCATGACAACCCCACTTTCTCTCAGCGTCCCCCAACACCTCTGACAGCACTTCCGTTCACTGTGTCATTTATCCCAATTAATAATTATACAGTCCTCATCTGTCTCTCTCTGTGTGCTCTCTCTCCCTGCAAGACAGGGAGATCTGCCTGTTTATCTTAAGCAGCCATCGTGGTGGCTGACAGGAACAACACTCAACAGGAACTGTGCAGTGAGTGGATAAAGTCGTCCTCCCTTAGCACCCATTGTGGTCCTTCTCAGGACTCTCACAGACCAGCAGCTTTGCTGGGCAGGTTCGACCCCACTGTGCTCTGTGTGTATTAAGTCAGCTTCCTTAGGAACAGACATGCACACTTCCTGAGTGATCTTCCATCCTCTGAGAGTGTTAAGAGAACACTTCGGTCCCCCAGTTGCACCTGTCTCAGAATCTATATACCTCAGCCTCCGGTCGCAACTCCAGATCTGAAGAAGAAGCTGCATAGTAAGAGATACATTCTCCACAAAGCTCTCCATACCCACAACTGAAAGTTTCATGCCCCTGGCTGTTCATAGACACCTCACAGGTCTTTCCTCCTGTGAAGGCCACTGGAATGAACAGGGCACAGAAATTTCTTACCTGGAATCCTTCCTGACTCTCGCTTTCTCAAAGGAAAACTCAGGCGGTTTGTTGAGGTCATAGGTTCGCGTTGTTGGCTCTGCAGACACTCCAGCCTTTGCCCCCCTCCTGCTGTGGAGAGAGACCAAGCCTGAGGTCTTGCGGTGAACATCCAGAGGCACTTTGTCGGGAGAGGCCTGCAGTGGGCTTCCTCCCTGCACATGTATAACATCCTGCAGCTTGTTCAGCTGGATGCACTTGCTCTGCAGCTCTTCTGTGAGCTCCGCGATGGCCACGGTCTGCTTGGCCAGCTGCTCCCGGAGCTCCTTCAGGTGGTACTCCCGTTCCTGAAGTTCTGCATCCTTCCTCCTCAGCTCCCGCTCCAGTTCTGCCACCTTGCTCCGCAGGGCTTCATTGCTGAGGTTCCCTGACTGGCCATCTGGGTGCTTAGCATGCTTGGGTTTCACCGAACCATTTCCCATGTTGCTCAGGAGCCTAAGGGAGGGCACAGAACTGAGAATGAGGAGGCAGGCGGAGGTCCACTTTCTAACGGCCCTCCCCTTTCCAGTCTGCTTCATAAACAGACGCGCAGCAGTCATCATCCTTTGGTGAGCAATAAAGCCCTCCGTTCTTACAGAGGAAACTAATGACAGAGTTCCTTTATCCCTCTATAGAGAGCTGTTAGCATTTGGGTTCGCTCTTCCCTGTCCTTTCAGCAGTACAGGGCGTCACACCTGAGCGTTTTCTACAACTGGCCCTAGTTACCTACTGTTCTCTTCCAGTGCTTATCTCTGGAGAGTCGTCAAAACATCCTAACAGGGCTGCGACTTGGATGTCACCATGGCAGAGATTAAATGCAAAGGAGCATTCACATTGACAGAGGCTTGAAAAATGTCACAACTCCCACCACACCCACTGGGTTACAGTTAAAAAACAAAAAACTCCCCTTGATTTAGAAATAACACATCTGCATTCCGCACAGGGTAGAGGCAAAGCCTGTGTTGCTCTATTAGCAATTTGTTCTTGCCTGGTACATTAGTAAGTGTCTTTATGCCAGTGCTGGAGTTAAAAACTTTGAACCGTGATCACTGAGAAGAAAACATCAGTATGAAGTTTCTTCTTCTACATTCTTCACATTGGGTCCCAAAGCCAAGTTGTGCAAAAATGACAGCCCTTGGTGTGAAGCTCGATTCTTATATTAAGACTATCTTCAGGGTTCAAAAGATAGTTCAGTGGGTAAAGCACTTGCCGAGCAAGTGTGAGGAGTTAAGTTAGTATCCACATGAATTCTGGGTAGACATGGCAATCTGCCTGTATTCCCAGTGCCCAGGACACAGAGACAGGAGACAACTGGAGCAAACTGTGTGAGGAGACCATCCAAATTAGTGAGCTCCTGGTTTGGGTGAGAGAACATGCTTCAAAACGTAGAAATAAATGTATAACACCTAACATCGACTTCCGGCTTGCCTAGGCACAGACATGTATGTAAATCCGTGCATGTACATGCACACATACACACACAGGAACATGCACATACATGTATGAACAACACAAACATTTTCAAAAGAGATGGGTATCTCCTCACAGGAGGGCTGGGGAGATAGTTCAGAAAGTGTCGAACATGCAAGCATGGAGACCTGAGTACTCTACCCAGTCAGGCTTCTAATCCCAGTGCTGGGAGACAGAGGGAGGCCTGGGGTTGGGTGACCAGGCAGTTTAGCCTAATTTGCCAACCCTGGATCCCAGTGAGAGACCCTGTCTCAAAAATACAAGGTAGATAGATGCTGAGAAACAGCCTCTATGGCCTGTAGCTTCCGAGTGTATTCTAAACAGTGACATGTATATACACACACAACACATATACGACATACATACACACGCACATGCACTCGCACAGCCTCTTGGAATTCCCAAAGTTATCACTAATCAGAGTACAAGAAGAAGATTAGGGATTATTAGAAATAATTTTTATTGATTTGCCATGTATTTTTAAAAAAAATTTCAAAGCTTTGTATTTATTTTGACATTTACTGTAAATTCAAAAGGCTGGCACCAAAACATTTTCTTTCATTGATATTATTACTTCAATGGAAATCAAGTAGCATGTTTAGGTTTACTAAGTCAATTCCACATAAATAAGAGTAAATTTTTAAAAAATTAAATCAGGGCTAGAGATATGGCTTAGCAGTTCAGAGTCCCAACTGCTGACAAGCACCTGTGCCTCCAGCTTCCAGAGATCCAACGCCCCCTTCCGACCTCCATAAGCACTGCACTCACAGGAGCCTACCCGTAATCAAAGATTAAATGATATAATAGTTTATAAAAGTAAATCATCTGCAGGTCATAAACCTATGTGAGCAAAATAACAGCAGAATTTGCACAGCTCAAGTTCAGCAGATGTTGCCCTGACTAACTGCTCTTTGAACACCGAGTACTGCAGTATTAGATGGCTTAGTCTGGGGAACTGTATATCAACTGTGAAAAAAATCTGGATTAATTATGATTTTATGAAATCAGAAACAGAGGATCAAAACTGAAGTTTTATAAACACGCATTTCCAGCTCCCCACTTCGGATTTCTAGCTCAGAGAGAAACAAAGATCTTGACTTGATTCACGAGTTCTACCAGATTAATCGTGGCCTCTACAGAGGCTGACTAGATGCAAAAAGTTAACAGTCTCCAAATTTTAAACAGAAGCAACCATCCAACGGAAGGTCCACAAGATCAAGACGGAAAAAGGAAGTGATTTGTCTTTTAACACTTAATTCTCGCTGGGAGCAGCCATTAATAAACATAAGCTTATGCCAAGTTGCTTCCACAGCAGTGGACATGGAGCGGGCAGAACCTTTAAGCTTCTGTTCACCGAGCAGCATTTGTTATTTTTACCCATTAACATCGCATAGAAAGATAAAGGAGAGAAGAATTTAAAGAAGTGAGCCTGGACAGACTCGTATCCAGAATAAGCAATTCATCAGACATTAATCTGAGACTTGAGAATTAACTTGACTGATATTCTGAAAGGTGCTCCCACAGGTCTCTGAATTAACATGTGTGCAAGTCTTTGTCATGTACCCTAAGCTATTTTCTAGACAAACTTTTTGGTTTGTGAGCAAGCATTTCAGCCAAGGAGAGGTAAGGAGGAAACAGAATTGTCTTATAGAGAACTCGGCAAGCATAAACAGATTTAAATTTAATATTGAACTAATGACTCATTCTGTATTCATGAAACAACTGTTTACTGAGCCAAGAGTACCATATACCCTCTGGAGTATATCCATAGCCTCTCATGGAAATTATTAGCACTTGGATTTAACAATAAAAAGTTATAACATCCTAAATACGAAAAAGTCAAAAATCATTGCTGTATGTGGACAGAGCAAAATCTGTACCAATCCAGTCATCTTACAAACCTAAAGCACAATTAAGTGTAGAGCATTAAACCCTCACAATCTCCTCTGTTTCCCTGAGGTCACCTTGGAAGCTGTACAAACCTTGTGGAGTGTTTAGAATTCCTAAAACGGGAAGAAATTAGAGCAGCTAGCTTACCTTTCAAGTCACTGACTTAAACAAGCTACTAGGCCTTTCAAGACTGGTGTGAGCTTTCACTTCACCTGTTTAAGTTTTGCTACTCCTAAAGCAAGGTATCAAGCCTCTGGCCACATAAAATCTGATTAGATTCACACTGTGTGCTGCCTAGCTGTCACTAGGGTAAGCAATTTCTCAAATATGAATTGCCAGCCACAAGAAGAATTGAGCCGTAGGATGCTGTTCCATCAATCCAGCAGCTACAGATTATTAAAATCATTTTTACATTAGAGGACAGTGGATGATGTAATAAGAAATGACTTTAGAGATGAAAAGTCCAGTTTAACTTGGGCAGCAGATTCTAGATACACAAGGGGAGGAAGCAACCCACCCTTTCCCAACCTCCTGTAAGTTTCGTGACATCTCCAATTTCATTTTTGTATCTGTAAAATGGGTATATTTGTCTCCATTTGATATGGGTCATGATGAAGATTGCAAAGCACCCCCATGCGAAGCAAAACACGCAGGAGACATGAGGTGCAGAAAGGGCTCTTTTGGCAGAATGGGGCTAGGGATGGATTTATATGTCTCTAGCGAAGGAAAATTACAGAATTGAATTCCTGCACGAGGCAGAAGTCTAAGAAAGTGGATACCTTCCAGACAAGAGGTTCTTAAAGATGCAAATACTCCTTTGTGAGAGTGAGACCTTACTCTTCCTGGACACTATATCCCATTGAGAAAAGAACACATTGTAGAACAAAACAAAAACAAAACAAACAAACAAACAAACAAAAACAGGAAAGAAGCCCTACCAAAAGGCTGGATATGAGAAAACAGTCTGAATGACAACAAAAATTATATCAAGAACTTCTAGGTCTCCTCAAGCTTGTCACCTCCTCAAGCTTGTCACCTCCTTAGTGTAGATTCTACTTATTCTCACACACTGAAGAGAAATTTTTAAACCAAAAAGGCTCACTGAGTTATCTCTGAAGGCACAACAACAGTACTCACTGGAATGGGGATACACTTCAGAATCATGGAGGAGAGAGAGGAGAGGAAGCCATGGCATTTAGCAAGAGGGAGGATAATACCACAGTGTCCGTAGATATCCTAATTCTCCTTCTGCAGAAGAAGCTAGTTCAGAGCAAAGACTCTAGGAAGGACTTGGGGGCTGAGCCACGCCTGGCAGTCAGTGTGGCAAACTGTGGCGTCAATGCCTGCTTTGTTGTACGTAGTTTAAAAACATAAGCATGGCTCTGATCTAGATAATGTTTGCTTCTCCCTCTACTCTCCTAGAGTCTGATAGAAATGCAACCACGTGAACAGACACATATACAAGCACACAGAGAGAGACACTCACTCACACACACACACACACAGATACACACACTGAGACACAGATACACACACACACACATACACACAGGCACAGGCACATAGACACAGATACACACACACATACACTCACCCATATAGATACACAGAGAATGAGACATACACACAGACACAAACAAATACACACATATCCAGATACACACACAGATACATACACAGATACACACACACACAGAGATATTTGAACACATGCACACACAGATATACACACACAGATACACACATATACACAACACACATTCACATACACATAAACAGATACACACACAGAGACATACATACACAAACTCACACACACACACTCATACACATAAACAGGTACACACAGAAAGACACATATATAATCTCTCTCTCTCTCTCTCTCTCTCTCTCTCTCTCTCTCTCTCTCTCTCTCTCTCACACACACACACACACACACAGAGTATTTACAAACATACAACATGCAAGATGGCTGAGGCTGCAGAGCCAGAGTCCCCGTTTAAGAACTTTTAACTAGTTTTCTAAGCCCTCAGAACAGCTTTTAGGCTTTAATGATAAGAACAGAAGGGACAGATTGACACTTAGACAGACAGATAGCCAAACAGATAAAACAATTTGCATATCATGTAGAACTCTTAGAGAGTCATATGACAGAGAGAATGATAAGAGTTTAGCACTGTTCTTGGTGTAAGTCATTATGGCATAATGAATACTAAACAGTATTATTACTATTAGCATTATTTACTCAATGGAATGGCTTATCTCAATCAAAGCAAAGATTATTGATTAAAAACTACACCAAATAAGCAAGCTATTAAAGGAGAACACTCAGAGAGCTGACTCTAGCCCACACTGTGCTCACAACAAAGCTACAAACATTGAGAGGGTAAGAGAAGGAGAGCACTGGGAGAGCCCCGGGGGGACAATAGCCACATAGATCAATGTAGCAGAGCAGCCCAGAAGTGGCCTCAGATGGTGCACATCTGACCCTTGAAGAAAGAGCAAAGGGAAGCCGACGGAGAACAGGGCACATTTAAGAGCCACACACAGGCAATGAAAAAATCACCTAAGCACAGACTTTAAAGCTTTTACAAAATCTAACCTGAGAGTAGAACATGGGTCTAAACATAAAACTCTCAAACCTAGAAGCTAGCATAGATGAGTCCAGATGATCTTGGATTCAGTGGTAACTTTAAGAAGAAAAAAAAAACTACAAATAAATTAGGAAAGGAGAAATTGTTATGTTTATACTTTGTTACAACTGAAAACTCTGCCAAAGAAGACAATAAGGTAGTTGGAACAAGCGAATAAAGGAGATGTTCTCAACACGCAACAATTTAAACAAGCCTGAAAAATGGGGAAAGATCAGAGCAGATGTCTCACCCCAGTTTCAAAGAGAGCAAAGAAAGGCAGGAGGAAACACAGTCATCTGTGAGCAGATAGCATCAAACTAACTGGAGATCCCGAGACACAGAGGTCACAGTCCACAGCACAGAGCACACCGAAGATGGCAGAGTATGGACTGACAGGAGTAGAGGCCTGTAAGGTGATACAGTCACCTAGGAAAACAGAGCAGGCTTTTGTCACTCAGGTAATCATGCCCCCACTCCCCAATTTTCAAATAGTAATCACACGGTGTCCTCAAAACCATCAGATTTATTCATGAATGCTGCAACTTTGAAGCAACCATGCCTTTCTGTTGGTTAGCAAAGAAACTCCAGTCCATGAATTTAACAGAATATTATTCAAGAATAAGGAGGAGCATTTAAAAAAAATGAGAAGACATAGAGGAACTTCAGATACATATCACTAAACAAAGACGCCAGCTGGAAGAGCAAACATACTGTATGAGTCCAACTGCACAGCATTATGGGAAGTAGAAAAGGTATAGACAGTTAAAAGATGAGTGTCTGTCAAGAGCTGTGGAGAACAAGGGAGAAAGGAACAAACAAGTTAAATACCATGGTGTTTGTGACATTGAAACTATTCTGTATTATACTGTAATAATAGATATATGTTATCATGCACTTGTCCCAACCCATGGCATATTCATGAATGCTGCAACAAAGAATAAACTCAATTATAATCATGGGCTTTAGTAATATGCCCATATTGGTTCATCAGTTGTAACAAACACTGATATATATCACACTGCTACAAGATGGTATGACGACTCAGAGGTTAACGGCCCTTGTTGCAAATCCAGAGGACCAGGTTTCAGTTCCGAGCATCCATACAGGCAGCTCACCAGTGGCTGTAATTCCAGCTCCAGGGGCTCTGGTGCCCTCTTCTGGCCTCTATGAGCACCACACACATATGGCACATATGCACACACATGC